AGTTGCCGATGGAAGAGGCTACTAGCATTCAGAAGTTACTATACTTTTACAGTTTAAAAAGTTTCAGATTAAGCACATCTCAGCTCCATCTACATAGTTTCTAAAATTTATAATACCATTCATTAGGTTAGAAAACACTTACCATCATCCGCAGTAAGAGAGGGCAAACATGAATASGAGTACGATTTCCCCTGCATACTAACAGAAGTAGCATTCCTGGTTGGTATTTTGCGATCATCCTGTTTCTCTTCGCTCTTTATAGAGTCAATAATGTCAGCTAATTTATTACTTTCTTGCTCTTTTGTTAAGTGTTTGGGAAGCTCTATCACTTGCGTTCTACTGCGTAATGGGTCTTTTGTCTTTTTAACTGGTTCAGGAGCAGTGAGATCATCAAGACTTGAGCTTACTCGTCTCTGATATTCTGGCTTGTTTTGTCCTTCAGTTCTGTCCCCCCAGCTTCGTCTTCTTAATGTGTCTGAGGTCTCTTCTACACCAAGGAGCTGTTCACTGCCGTTATCAGYGTCAGTTGGTGGTTTATCCACAGCGGGTCTCTCTTCACTTGCTACAGTTTTTCCTTTGACAAAAATTAATGTAAAAATATATATTTATTATTATCTCTTCAAGCCTTTTGCTGCTATTCAGCTTGGGGTCACATGACCACACCTACTTTACATCAATCAAACTATGGAAAAAAAATGGAAAGAGCAGAAAAGAATCAGTTAAATGACATGGTTTCAAGTCTCAACACTACACTACACACTTAAAAATTAATAGCATATGTAAAAATTCAATTTGTTTTTTTCTAATGAAACATCTACAAACATAGAAGTGGTGAGCAATGCCTACTTTCCAGTTTGATTTCCCACATGATTCTTTAGAAAAATTCCTACCATCTTTGAAGCATATAGTGTTGAGACTTTGCTATGTTTACATGTAATACTTACAACCGACTTGCTCTTTTCATTTCTGACATTATTTTGTGATAGCTGATTGAGATAAGGTAGGTGTGGTCACATGACACTCAGTTGCCGATGAGAAGCATAAAGAAAAAGAATAATTCACAACATACCAATCATCAAGTGAGCTTGTAAGATATCTTGACCTCTAAAMGTTGGGCAGGATAATCTTCTTATTGGAGGTCTGTCTCCTGGACCCTTTGAAGACTGAGAACATCTTTTAGTCAAAAAAGGGTGGAAAAAGAMATCTTAAAAATAAGTGTTTACCTCTCTGTAGTTTCTTTGAGAAGTAACACGAAGCCTTTGTATCTCTTCATTGATATCTCGAAGTCGTTTCAGATTTTGCTCTGAGAAAAARGGAGACAATAATACATCAGTTTCCTGGACAAAATTCAGGAATTAAYTGACAACTTTTAAATGAAT